AGCCAAACTTGTTCGTGAAAAGACAAAGCTCGTCACATAGTTGCCTTTTAAATTGACACATCTGAGAATAAGGACAGAGCCCTGGTTGGTGGGGATGTAAACCACCTAGCACAATGCTCCACACAGGGATGGGTTATAGGTTATGTGGTGGATGGCAACTGGTTGGTGGGGGGGGGGGGTTGTCCGAAGAGTTAATCTTGACATTTTTCTCAAAGGACAGGGGGAAATCACAGGGGCTTAGTTGGAAGAAGTTTTCAGAAAATGGAAAACTGCAAAAAAAATGAAAATGGAAAACTGCATTGGTGTGAAAAAAAGCCAACGAAGTCACACCAAGGAATTATTTTCGCCATCATGACCATATATATATATATGCCTGCTTATTTTTTGAGGGTCTGAAGGGCCGTCCTCAGAATTTCCCTGGAAAGCTTTGCCCCATCCCTCCGACAGTCCTAATCTTGCCCCTTCAGACTTCTTTTTGTTCCCCAAACTCAACATTTCAAAGGAGCAGTATTTGAGTGCCTCATGGATCCCTAAACTGCCATTTCAATGGGGTGGAAATTGACAGGCATAGTCTTCTTTGGGGAAGAGTTAGATGGAAATGCCACCTTCAGAAATGTCTGGACCTGGGTGGAGGGGACATGGAGAAACAAGAACTTCACATGTTGATATTTTTATGTAATAAAGGTTTCTATGATTTTGTAGCAGTGATTCGTAACTTTCCCATCTTCTTTAGTGTTAATAGCATAGACCAGCGATTCTCAACCTGTGGGTCATGACCCCTTTGGGGGTCGAACAACCCTTTCACAGGGGTCGCCGAATTCACAGCAGTAACAAAATTTATAACAGTGATGAAGTAAGAACGAAAATAATATTATGGTTGGGGGGAGGGGGGTCACCAGCACATGAGGAACTGTATGAAAGGGTCGCAGCATGAGGAAGGTGGAGAACCCCTGGCCTAGACAGTGCTGAACAGTGTGTAGTTGTGGGGAGATCTGAGGTATTTCTGAAGGATTTTTTTAGTTTCTAATCAGAATGATAACTCCTGTTTATTAAGTACTTACGGTTTGCCTGCCACTATGCAGGATGGTGGCTTGGGGGGTTTCTGACTGCAGTTACGGATGCCCAGGCCTTACAGTAGGACCCTAGTGGTGTCGTGGTTACACGTTGGGCTGCTAACTGCAAGGTCGGCAGTTGGAAACCACCAGCCACTCTGAGGGAGACATACGGGCCTTTTGACTCCCGTAACCATTTACAGCTTCAGAAACTCATGGGGGCCATTCAGCATCAACTCAATGGCAGTAAGTGAGAGGCCTTATATCTGCTTACTGCATGCTTGTCACTGTCCTTAGGGATTTCTAAGAGTGCATAGATTCCTATATTTCCACGTAGTTCCCGGATGATAAATATAAATTACATTTATTAATCACATATTCTATGCCCACCTCTTCCTATACAATGCCCCCATGGCCCTAAGAAGCTGCTGTTCTTCTCCATACACACCCCACCTGTGCCTACCCACACTGAAATCTCAGAGGCTGCCCTTGCCATCGTCTGCACCAGCTCCCACCAAGATGGGACATGTGTGCTCTTCTCCGACAGGTATGCACGATGGTCACCGTGGTCTGGGTGGAGCCCCTGCTCAAGGAGCTGCTCTGAGGGCTCCCAGCTGCGGCACCGACGCTGTGTTGGCCGGGACAGGCAGTGCTCGGAGCAGGTAGGACCTGGGATGCTTGAGTGGCAGCTTCAGGCCTGTGAGGACCATCTGTGCTGTCCTGGTGAGTAGGGTCGGCAAGGTGGGGGGAGCGTGCGTTCCCTGTTCCTCACGTAGAATCTGGAGAATGGAGTTGTGCTGGATGCTTGTGAGGAGCGGTAAGGAGGAGAACATGGAGGAACAGAGGGGGGCTGGGGGTACTGATAGGAGGTGAGGTCCGAGACATCCCAGGGGTCTGAGGATGCAGGACCTCAGGGCCACAGTGAGGACTTTGGCTTTTCCTCTGACAGGACTTTCTACTCCTGTAAAGTTACAGTCTCAGAAATTCACGGGGGCAGTTCTGCCCTGTCCTAGGGGGTCTCTGGGAGTTGGCATGGACTTGAGGGCAGTGAGAGTGGAAGAGTTGTGGACAGAGGAGGGCTGCCATCTGATTTGAGTTGTGATGGACTCTGTCTCACTTTTGTGAGGGGACCAGACTGTAAGTGATAAGCGGAAGCAGGGGGTCCAGTGCAAAGGCTACTTCAGTTGTCAGTGAGGTTGGGCCGCATGTCGGGGCAGAGGATGTGGAGATGACATTAGCTGCAGACCATATGTGGGGCACTGGTGAAGTGAGATGCCCTGAATGACTCCCCCAGCCCGATCCTGCCCTCCCTCTCTCTTTTGTCCCCTACAGAGATGGGTGGCTGGTCTGATTGGGGGCCCTGGGGGCCCTGCTCTGTCACCTGCTCCAAAGGGATCCGGACCCGCCAACGAGCTTGTGATTCTCCTGCCCCCAAGTGTGGGGGCCAATGTCCAGGAGAAGCACGTGAATCAGAGCCTTGTGACACCCAACAGGTCTGCCCAAGTAAGTAGGGGCAACTACAGGGCACTGAGGGGCCACCCAGGGTAGGTCAGTGGGGTTACAGCACCCAGGATGGGCAGGCTTTAACACTTATGACCACATTTGGCATTTGCTACCCCCACCCATCACAGCACATGGAGCGTGGGCCTCCTGGGGCTCCTGGGGTCCCTGTCCAGGCTCCTGCCAAGGTAAAGCTCATATGCCTTTGGAGACACGAAGCCGCACTTGTTCCTCGCCTGAGCCTTCCACGAAGCCTCCAGGGAAGCCTTGCCCAGGCCTAGCCTATGAGAAACGCGCCTGTACCGGCCTGCCACCCTGTCCAGGTATGTAGGCATGCTGCCTTTGATACTTTGCCAATGGGTGCCTTGATTTAAGGCAGAGATACTCTGCCACTTCCAAGGCTGACTGTCTCAGATGCTGTGACCCTGGAGCTCCTCACTTGGGACCATTCGGACCTTGAGAGGCCAGGGTTTGAGGGTGGGCTGGCGGTTTGAGGTACCTTTCCTCCTCACTCTTTCCCCCACTCCCCCAACAGTGGCTGGAGGCTGGGGGCCATGGAGTTCCATTAGCCCCTGCCCGGTGACCTGCGGCCTTGGCCAGACTCGAGAGAATCGGGCCTGTAACCAACCCCCGCCCCAGCATGGAGGTGCTGTCTGTGCTGGTGAATCCACGCGGACCCACATCTGCAACAGGGCCGTGCCCTGCCCTGGTCAGCATCTTAGGACGAACAAGTCCCACGCTTAAGCCCCGCTGCGCCTCTCTGGTTCCTGCTGCTGCTCCCTTGTTCCTCTCTAGTTCTTCCACTCCTGGCTTTATTCCCTCATTGGAACACACACACACACCCACCCACCCCCTTCCCCCAGCCCTCATTCCTTGCTCCACATTTCCTGCCTGGCTCCCTGTTGTGGTTGAGCCCTCCCTGTTGTCCTTACCTCTGCAGTGGATGGCGAGTGGGAGCCCTGGGGAGAGTGGAGCACCTGCGGCCGTGGGAATGTGAGAATTCCCAACTGCGAGGAAATCCCAGGCCAGCAGACACGCTCGAGAGATTGCAAGGGCCGCAAGTTTAATGGTCAGCGGTGTGCTGGGAAGCAGCAGGAGATCCGGCACTGCTACAACATCCATCGCTGCCGCTGTGAGTGCCTCCACAGACAGTGCTGTATGGGCTGGGCAGTGTCCGCAGGGACAGGGGCTCTCCAAATCTCTGACTGGAACTCCATGACCCTGCAGCCTCTCCTCTCACCTAAACCCCCAACTCTAAAGGTGTGCCCATCTCCCTTCATTCCAGGGGACGGCTCGTGGTCAGAGTGGAGTGCTTGGGGCCTGTGCACCCCTCCTTGTGGACCCAATCCCACCCGTGCCCGCCAGCGCCGCTGCATAGCTCCTCTCCCCAAGTTCTCGTGAGTGGGGCGCAGAGTGTGGCAAGGAGGGGGCTGGGATATGTCAGCAGTCAGGGCAGGGTTATCAGCTGCCCCCTCCCCTGCCACACGCGCGCGTGCGCGCGCGTGCGCGCGCACACACACACACACACATACACACACACACACATTGTCTTGGCGGATGCCATCTTCCAGCTGCAGGGAGGGGGCAGAAGCCAAAGAAAATGAAGAGGAAAAGATCCAGGGGAAGAGTAAGTCATCTCTGTCTCCCTCAGTCACTCAGTCAGACATGCAGCCTTTCTACCGTTCCTGAGGTCCTGCGTGTGTGCATTTCCTGTTCTCTCTCAGCTACCCGGCCTTTGATTTACACACACACACTACCAGATCCTGTGGGGAACAACACCCCACCAAAGGGATCCCAGGCGGGTCATGTCCTGACAAATTGCATCTGAAAAGCAGCTGATGTGTGGGAAAGAGACTGTTACCCCAACCTGGCTCCAGGGAGCTGATTGGGCCTCCTCCAGCAGGTCAGAGTCAACAACGATATTCCCAGCACCGATGCTGTGTGAGTATAGCTCTGGACACAGGGGGTCCCTCACCTGAAGTGCTTCCCGGTGACCAGAGTGGCCCAGGTGTCTGAGAGGATCAAAACACTCAAGTCCTTCATTTCTCCCTTATTTCTGCATACATCAAGCGACTAGATTAAGTGCACTGTTGCCAACTTGTGGGCGCTCCGCCGCCTGGAAGGCAGGAACCTGGCTGTGGGATGTAGATGAGTTGGGAGCCCTGGTGGTGTAGTGGTTATGAATTGAGCTGCGATCCACAAAGTCTGCGATTAGAAGCCACCAGCTGCTGCAAGGGAGAAAGATGGGGCTTTCTATTCCCGTAAACAGGTACAGTCCCCAAAACCCACAGGGGTAGTTCGCCCCTGTCCTACTGGATCACCATGAGTCAGCATTGACTTGATACCAGTGAGTTTTGAGTGGGTGGATGAGTTGTGGGTGTTGCATAGATAGAGACATAAAGGATTTGATCGAGTGAAGGAATGAATGGGGAAAGGATTGATTGAGAGAATGAGGGTAGAAATGAATGGAGGACCTGCCATCTGGGAGAAAGAACCCAGGCAAGGACCCGTCTAGATATGAGAATGAGTTTGGATAAAGTGAAGGAGAGGTAGAGATCAAGGTCAGGGCCCAGTCTTTGGGTCCTAACAAGACCTTGAATGCCAGGACAAGGCATTTAGTTTGTCTTATTTCCCCCAGGGAGCAGTAGGAGAAATATCAAAGGTTTGGGAGGTAAGCGACAGCAAGTCAGCAAGTACTAATGACTGGCGTTTATTGAATACTCACTGTGTGCCAGACACTGCCCCGAGCACTTTACCCAGCCTGATGATGTTGGTGGTACTGCTGTTATTTCCATTTTGCTGATGAGACATGGGAATACCACTGAGCCACAGACAGGATAAATAGCCTAAAATTTCACAGCTGAAAATGTAGTCTTAGGCACACAACAAACTCAACCAGAGTTTGTTGAGCCTTCAAGACCCCAGACGCTTTATCTTTTGATAGCCGGGCACCATCAGCTTCCTTCCCCACATTTGCTTATTCACCCGCTTTGTCTTCAGCGGTTGTGTCGGAAGGTGAGCATCATAGAATGCCAATTTAATAGAAGAAAGTATTCTTGCATTGAGGGAGTACTTGAGTGGAGGCCCAGTGTCCTTCTGCTACCTTAATACTAACCCTATAAATACAGGCACATAGCTCTATTTCCCCATCCTCATATATAAATATATTTGCATATGTCCATGTCTTTATCTAGACCTCTGTAAATGCCCTTTGCCTCCCAGCTCTTTGCTCTATTTCCCTTGACTTTCCTCCTGTCCTGCTATCATGCTCAGTCCCCACCAGGATCCTTTCAGGACCAGTGGCGTGAGTGGTGATACTGGAGTGTAGAGGGAGAGGGGGTTGGAAAGGGGGAACCAATTACAAGGATCTACATGTGACCTCTTCCCTGGGGGACGGACAACAGAAAAGTAGGTGAAGGGAGTCGTCGGACAGGGCAAGATATGACAAAATAATAATTTATAAATTATCAAGGGCTCATGAGGGCGGGAGGAGCCGGGAGCGAGGGGGAAAAAAGAGGACCTGATACCAGGGGCTTAAGTGGAGAGCAAATGTTTTGAGAATAATGAGGGCATGAATGTACAAATATGATTTGCACAATTGATGTATGTATGGATTGTGATGAGTTGTATGAGCCCCTAATAAAACGATTAAAAAATAAATAAAATTTTTAAAAAGAGTTTGTTGAATGCATGTTTACCTTGCCTTACCTTCTCTCATCTGTCTCTCCTCCCCCAATACCCCAGGCCCACTTTTTCCATCGTGGAAGGGCAAGGCATGAAGAATGTGACCTTCTGGGGGACAATGTGGCCGAAGTGTGAGGAGCTGCAGGGGCAGAAACTGGTGGTGGAGGAGAAGAAGCCATGTCTACACGCACCTGCCTGCCAAGACCCTAAGGACAGGAAACCTTAACACCTCTCCCTTCATCTCGGACCCCTTGCCCTCCCAGACTTCAATAAACCAGGCACTTTGGGCTCTTCCTTGAAGGAGGAAAATACTTCCCACCCCCTTCCTCAGGAGTGGGGCATTAGCACCTTTCAGGGCAAAATCGTGGTGGCTTGTGAAAAACAGGATTTTCTGACAGAGCTGCAGTTTGGCAGGAGCAAAAGCAAGTGTCCAGCCCTGCTTGACTATTGCTGCTGCCCAATGTCTGCGCCCCAATGCCCCAGGCCATCCAGCACGTCCCTCTGCAGAGCTCCGAGATAGGAGCTTTCTGATTGGTTGCTCGACCAGGCAGGCACTTTCTGATTGTCTGATGTGTTCTTTAGTTGCTGTCTCCCCACCTCCTGAAGCAAACCCTAGGTTGCCACCCACTGGAGTCTGGGCTGGCCAATTCTGAGCCAGTCCAGCCTGAAATATCAGTAGCTCAAGGATGGCTGAGGTTCATTCCCCACTGCTGGAGCACCTGCACCCACCCACCCCCAACAGCAGCCCAGCTTCAGTGCCACCATTAGCAGCAGCAACTAGCTTTGTATAACAGGAGTGGGGGTGAGGATAGGGAGGCGGACCCAGGAAGTGTTTATGATGTACTCTGAGCTGGAGAGGGAGCAAAGGGAAGGTTGAGTCAGCATCTGCCTGGAGGAGCGCCCCCAAGCAAGCCCAAAGACAATCGCTAGGCGTTTGTTCATTTATTCAGCACTTAATAGCTCTAAGTCCCCTCTGTAGGCCATTCTTGCTGAAGAAGATGAAGGCAGTGCAGAGTTGTCTCACCTCTGCCTCAAGGAGTTGGGACATACCTGGGAAGCACCTTCCCTCCTCTGCAGAACAATCTATGGAATATTAACCTGGAAAGGTAGATGGGCCTGCGGGCCGTGAGTACTGGAAATGGATCCCCTGGGAAGAGGCATAGTCAAGACAGATTCTTGAGGAGTTTGGACCCAGAGGAGCCAGGGAGGCCTGCAGGCCAACAGTTGCTGCTGTCCGCTGAGGCACCATGGTGCCAAAATAGTTTGTTTGCCTCTGTTACTGAGGAAAAAGCCACACAACACAAACACCTTGGGAACACGTATTTCAGGGTATTGGAAAATGCCTAAATGTATGGGAGTTCCCCATCTGGGGAGTGCGAGCACGAGGAATGCCAGAGAGGACACCCTAGAGACAAGGGGAAGGAATGGCCAAGTGAAAGCCCTGGAGGTGGGACTAGAGCTGGTTCAAATGGAGGAGGGATGTGGAGGATGGTTGGGCAGTGCTTGACAGCGGGGACTGTGGCAGCCTAGGGGAAGAGACGTGGAGTCTGGGTGGGGTGGGCTAGGTATGGAATGTTTCAGGGACACTGTGAGCAAAGGTGGCCATCGAAAGGGAGGAAAGGGGCCTCCCTTCCCCCCACATAGGCAGAGGCAAAGAGAATGCCCCTGCCTCTCCTTGGAGGAGAGTCAGGTGATCACCCATTTTTTAATAGATGAGGAAACTGTCGCTTTCCCAAGGATATAGTAGAGGTCTGATTTGAACCCAGATACCCTGCCTCCAGACCCCACACTATCATTGCCTTGTTTAAATTGAACAAGTGGATAATGTCTCTCAAAATCCTGCAGGTGAAAAAAATCTAAAATCTACTGACATCTCACTGTATCTTCTACCACCATCATTGCTCATTATGGTCCAGGAGGTCACACTACATGTGGTCCTTGTTCATCTCTGACCTCATGTCCTACCATCATTACTTTATTCCAATTAGACAGGCACCAGCTAGTCCCACTTCCTAGCACGTTCTTCACACAACTGTATGAATCACAAAGTGAATAGGGTCTTTTGGAAACATTTGAACTCTCAGTTTCCCTCATCTGCAAAATGGAAATTAGCTTACCCACTCCAGAGGATTGTGGTGAGGGTTGACTGAAACAATGAATGCAAACGGCAGGGTTCAGTGTTGGGTACAAATGTCAATAAACTATTTTTTGAAACCGAGTTGTACTTTCATTGTAATCAGGGTCCATTATAATAGTTAACAGGATGGTTTCCACAGCTCACCTCAGCCCTGACTAAAAAGGTCATTTGCTCATTTGGCAAATATTACATGGTACCGACTATGTGCATACTCTAGGCTTGATGTGCCTCTCTGTGGGAGTTCTGGAGTTCACGGTGAGATGACCATGGGGGGCCACATTTGATGGTTAGCATGGTCTTTGCCTAGGTCTAGGAAGGATGAAGGGGACAGACAGATCAGCATCAGGACTAGAGCTACAGAGCATCCGTCCCTGCTACAGATCTGTGGCTGTGACTGTTCTTCTGCGAGTGGGTGTATATCTGGGTTTGCATGCTCATGTGAATTTCCTTGAGTTTCTGGGGTGTGTGTGTGTGCAGCACGCGCCTGTATCTGTTACCCTGGGTTGGTTTGCCTGTGCATATGCATGAATCTGGGTGTGTTCTCTGTGCATGCCCCCATGTATTGCCTTACTTCTGTATGGGTGTGTATCTCCACGTGTGTGTTATTCCCTGTGTACCTCCAGAGCCGTCTTCATGCACAGCAAGAGTGCATACCCCGCCCAAGTGTCCACCTCCGCACGTCTGATGCTGTCTACGCCGCCCCTGCACCGATCTGATCTCTGCCTGGCTGAGCCTGTGAGGATGGAGGAGACTGATCTCCCCGCAGGGCACTGTGTACATGACCCCACATCTCACTGTGAAGGAGTTACTCACTTTTTGTGTCTCTGACGTGCCTTCCACCCCCTCCCCCAAATGCCTTCTGCAGTGAATATCAACACTGGAAACCGAGTGACTGTCTGCACCTGAGGGTCCTACGTGACCAAGTTGGTGTGAGAACCAGGATGAGGCGAGGTGGGGGACCCGCCTGACCACCGGTCACGATCCTCCCGGAAAAAAACACCCACCCTACCCCCACTCAAATTGCGCATCCCCAATCGCAAGGGGGGGGAGGGGAAACAGGATGCGGCGCTACGCGTGCGCACTGCTGCCTTCAGTACCGCGGACAGCGCCTTCGCCCCCGCCTGTCGGCGCGCTCCACCGCGGCCCTAGCACCGAAGGCGCACTGACGTCACTCACCGTTCCTCAGCAAACCCCCCTTCATGGCCACTTTGGTCGCGTCCGCACCGCCGTCGGTCCAGCCGGACTGCACCACTCGGCGCGCGAGATAGGGAGTCACGGGCGCGACCAAACGCGCTGCGGCGGCGGCGACTCAGCGCTGCCTCAGTCTGCGGCGGGCAGCGGAGGAGTCGCATCGTGCCTGAGAGCGCAGCTGTGCTCCTGGGCCCCGCGCGGTCCGCCCCCGCGGCTCCTGGTCAGACTGCCCCCAGGACCCCCTGCCCAGCGCCGCAGCCATGAACTACCTGCGGCGCCGCCTGTCGGACAGCAACTTCATGGCCAATCTGCCAAATGGGTACATGACAGACCTGCAGCGCCCGCAGCCGCCCCCGCCGCCGCCCGCTGCCTCCAGCCCCGGGGTCACGCCCGTTCCCGCAACTGCCACTGCCGAGAGGGCTTCCTCGGCCGCCCCTGTGGCCTCTCCAGCTGCCCCTAGCCCCGGGTCCTCGGGGGGCGGTGGCTTCTTCTCCTCGCTGTCCAACGCGGTCAAGCAAACCACAGCTGCGGCCGCCGCCACCTTCAGCGAGCAGGTGGGCGGTGGCTCCGGGAGCGCAGGCCGCGGGGGCGCCGCCGCCAGGGTGCTGCTGGTCATCGATGAGCCGCACACCGACTGGTAAGCCACTGCTGCGGACTTCTCCCCGCAGACGTGGGTCCCCAGATCGTCCTGTCTCGAGCAATTACCAAGCACCGTTTGGGTGCCCAGCACCCGTCCCCCTCCCCCAGAGCCTTTGCCTTTAAATATTACGCTGGACTCTTCCTGTGTGCCCCACCCTAGCCCCTCCCAAAGGCCTTCTTGACAGATCCAGGGAGCAGTTATCCAGCACCTGCTGTGTACCTGTTCCCTAATCCTTCTCCCCAATCCCCCTCCCTAAAAGCGTTTGACTTCAATCCCTCCTGTGAGCATTTGAGAGCTTAATATGTGCGGTGCCCTGCCCCTGCCCCCCGCTCCTGCCCTCGCCCTCGTCCTCAAAGGTCTTGTCATCAAGTGGATCTTATGAGCATTTATTAAGTTTCTGACGCGTGCCTCATTGAGAAGCCTTCCCCAAGACCTTTGGCTTCAATTAATTTTAAAAAGATATTTATGGAGAGCTTGCTATGTGGCCTGTCTCCCACAATCATTGCCCTAAGGCCTTCTCTCTAATGGATCTTGTGAGCACTGTATCCTGTTTGTGCGATGTGTCTTACCCTGCAGCCCCTTTTCAAAGACCTTTTAAACTATTCATTGCACACTGATTGAGTGCCTGCTGTGTATTCCACTCCAGATTCTCGCTTAAAGCTTTGCTTTTAATGACCTCTGGAAGCCTTTATTGAATGCTTTCTGTGTGCCCCAACCCCAAGCTTCCTCTCCAAGGGCCCATTCCTCCAATGGATTTAGGAAGCATTTATTATGTGCCTTCTGTATACCCTATCTCCAAACCCAAGCTAATTCTTTTCCTCCAATTAGTTCCCTGAGAATTTGGAACCTTCAGGGTATGACGCATCTGCAGACTCTACCCCCAAAGACCTTTTCCTGTAGTGGAGGTAGAAGGCATTTGTTGAGTATCCCCTTCATTCCCTGTCCACAAGCTACTTCTTCAAAGACCTTTCCTCTAGCATTTATCACCTGCTTACTGTGTGAACCTTCCCTAAAGGCTCTTTCCTCCAATATCTTTAGCAAGCATTTATTGAGTGCCTGCTGTCTACCCCATCCCTAAGCCCTTTCCCCAATGCCTTGTCCTCCAATGAATGCAACCTGCATGTACTGAGTACTTTCTGCATGACACAACCTTTCAACGCTTTCCACAAAGGCTGTTGCCTCTCTCATTAACCCCCTGATCAGATAGCTAACACTTGCTGTGTATCCCATTTCAATCCTTCTTCCTAAAGGGCTTATCATGTAATTGCTCCATAAGCATTTATGAAGTACCTGCTGTTCACCTTCTCCACAAAAACCCTCCCTCCC